ATCTCAAAAAAAAACCATCATCATCATCATGGGTTTGATTTCATCTCCAACAACAGTTGAAGAATCTCATTACCATACTCACAAGATCTTCCTTTTCGCCAACTACATGCTTCTCGGTGCGGCTTCGAGCTGTATCTTCCTCACACTCTCTCTCCGTCTAATCCCTTCGATCTGCGGTTTCCTACTCATCCTCCTCCACGCCACAACAATCGCCGCCGCTATCTCCGGCTGCACGGCCGCTTCATGCGGAAGAAACCGGTGGTACGCTGCTCACATGGTGACTACTGTTCTCACAGCTATATTCCAAGGATCTGTCTCTGTTCTTATCTTCACCAACACGTCGAAGTTTCTCGGGAGTCTCAAATCGTATGTGCGTGAGGAAGATGCTGCTGTGATCTTGAAACTTGGTGGTGGGCTTTGTATTGTGATCTTTTGTCTCGATTGGGTTGTTCTTGTATTGGGTTTCTTCTTGAAGTACTATGCTTATGTCGATGGTGGTGATAATGGTGGTCGAGGCGTTGCGATGAAGAGAACTGGTAAAGTACAGAGTGAGGAGAATCCTAAGGATTGGCCATGGCCGTTCCAAGTTTGAAAATTAAGTGTGTTTGTTGTTTATTGTGGTGAGGATTGTTGAGTTATATTAATATCAAATGTTGGTTTTGGATCTGTTTCGATTGGGTATTAAGATGATTTGTTCATTTGTTTTTGTTTTTTGGGTGTTTGATGTAATTTTTCAATGGATGGTTTATTACATATATAAATAGTCTGTTTCCTGTGGTTTTTTTAGAACTAGAATGCAAACAAAGAATTGGGCCTAAACGCAGAAGTCAGAACTCGAGCGGGATACACACAATTTCACAGGAACTATTGAACATTGAAAACATATTTTATCTGAAAAATCGACCGTATATGAGGTTTTAACATCATATCCTCTGTTAGCCAAAAGGGAAAACTGAAAGTAATAGGAAACTGGACACCATAAAAACAACATATAGGGAATTGGATACAACAAATAGAGAACAAGAAATCAATAAATAAAATAGTGAAAATAAAGCAATTTCTCTGGAGGAATTCATTTAAGTGATCCAAACACAACCACCTAACACATACTTTATCTACACATGTTTATTACAACATTCTTCTGGCCTCCGGACCATGGTAACTTACCACTAGCATGGGCTAATAATGTGGAACAAATTGCATCATTTTACTTTCTTTTATGCCCTGATCTCTCGACCGAAAATCCAGCTGAAGGGTATGTTTCTTGCAGTTTCTTTGGCTCTTCCTTGAGCCCTCTCTTCGAGTTTGCGGATCCTAGCAGGCAACCGACAGAGATAGTCCTGTTTGAAGCAATTAAAGAAAGCCAAAAGTCAGAAAAAGGAGTAGAGAACTTAGATTCCGAATCTTTTTTTCCGAATTGATGAACAAACAATCTCCAAGTGCACAAAAAAAGGTCTAATGCAGTTTAATCTAAGCTAGGATAGGTTTTGCAAGAGGAGGTTTGGGAGAACGGAAAAAGGTCTCTCATTTATTCCCTTCTTGATCTCTAGAAGAAGACTTGGAGGTTTCATTTCCAAGTCAAATACTGCAAAAGCAAAACAAAACAAGAATGGTTTCATGGTTCTAAATGTTGTTACCTGAGCCTTGTGTCCTTCGCCAGAAAGGCCTGATAAGTTCTCCACATTCCATCGTTGCACAAGAAATTCCAGTATATCAGCATAGTCTCTGGCAGTGTAGACACCAAGCCTCTGGGCCACAGACGAGAAGTGGTCAAACAGATTATCATCGCGACCATCATACATCAAATGAGCAGGCATTGAGATCTTTTTCTTCATCATGTCAGCGAAACCCATGATTGTGCTGTCAGGATCAATCTCAAAGAGCTTTTCTACAATCTTGGTGTAGGCAGTTTCATGGCGCTTCTCATCAGCAGCAATGGTGCCGCAAATCTGCGCAAGTTTCGAGTCTCCAAGATTCTTCGCCAGTCTGGCAGTGTTTCCATGGGAGATGAAGGTAGCTCTTTCTTGAAAAGAAGTGTAGATGAAACCCAGGTAAGGATTGTTTTCAGTTTTTGGATCCTAAGAAACAAAACAAGAAAACAATCAATATGTAAGATATCGTAACACAGCATACAAAAGAGTATGCATAGTGTGGCTCAGCTAAGACAGCTCTGTTTAGGAGCTTACCATTCCAGAACCAATCAAGTATTGAATTGTCTTTTCAATCTGCCTCATGTCTACTCGTCCAGACAGATAAAGATACTTGTTAAGAAGATCACCATGCCTATTCTCTTCCGCTGTCCACGCCCTCGTCCACACTGCCCAAGGAGTAGGACTCGCTCCCGTCTCATCCCTAACCCCATCCAATGTATTAATCATGGTCTGATAAGTCGGAAGTGCTTCCTCTGTGATCATATCACCAATAAGCACTACAAAGTAGTCATCAGAAAGCTCCTTACACCTTTCTCTTAACTCCTTCACTTGGTCAAAGAATCCTTCTGACTCGGCTTCAGGGAGGAAATCAGTCGGCTGCCACGATTTCTCAACAGGTTTTAGGTAAGCCAACAAGTTATCATTAGCCCATCCTTCTAAGGACTTAAAGATCTCCAATTTTTGTGGTGGCATCGAATATTTCACTTGAACATCCACTTCTCGAGGAGGGATATAAGGTTTCCTTCCATTTGTAACTTCTCTGCAATCCATCAAAGAAGGTTCCAAAAAATGATCGAAATGTATTCAGTACGAGTCATCACAGAATCGACTTAACAGCTAAAGCAACGATGCAAACAAGTTATATATAGTCTTTAAGAAACCTCCATATAAGGAGATCGCAACACGAGTAACAATCTCTTATTGGAATAAAAAAGAAGAAGACACACTAATGCATGATTTAAGTGTTCACCATAGATGACTAGAACGATGCTCTAAATTACAATTCTTCTGACCAAAACAGTATCACCAAAACAACAAGCAACACAAGAAAAATTCAGACCAAACTTGACCAACTACAGTACCTATATACACATAAAGCAGAGATGTATGCATATATATATGCATAAACAAAGAGATACTCAATCTACCAAAAGCAAAACCAATTTAAAAGTCTTCACACCTTTTTATTTTTGGTGGAATATGAGTTCTTATTTAAAAGCCTTTACTTACACTAGCAATAAAATAAGAAGGTATTCGACCAAAAAAAATAAAAAGGGATTGATGAACATTGTAGCCCTGACAGGCCAACAACCAAATTAAATGATATTTTTATATTAAAAAAAAATGGAACAATCCATGCATGCATATGGAATGTAAACACAAAGAGATTACAAAAATTCCAAAACATCAAATTGAAATGGATAGCGATTGGCTTTTGCAACAATGACAAATTTATTTGAAAGGGAAATTTTGTCATTGTAGCAAACATGTCCAAAACTTAGGCAGAGATCAAAATTGATTTGAAGATTTGACAGAAAATCATAACAGATTTCAAAATCAATTTTTCAAATAAATTGTTCATAGATTCATGAGAGCAGAGAGCACAGAAGCGTATATTCATGTACGATACGAACACTTATCGCAAAACGAAATAAACAAAGTATTTGATCACGAATTTGAAAGAAACATAGAATTTTTTTTATAGAACCCAGTGTAGATCATGATCTCTGTTCAAAAATTAAACCATGGAAAAAAACCCAAATCAGGAAATGAAGCGAGAAGCTCACGTAGAGGATGGACGGATAGCGGAAGCCATGAAAACTCTGGAAGATCTGGAGCCATGAAAATGAGAAGAACGATGATAAACAGATGAGGAAGAGAAGAAAGCGATCCGATCCATAGCCATAGCCATTGTTGTTTCCCCCTTCTTTCTTCTTTAACAAATTCAACAATGGAGATATATAATCAGGAAGAGATTG